CCGCCCTCCCGGGGGGCGCCGGCCTGAGCAGCGGGTGGGGTGCGGTGCTGGGCCAGGCGAACCCCTCTCCGCGCTGCCTCGCCCCCGCTGCTGCTCTGACTCCCTCCCCATCTCTCTTCCTCTCCCTGTGTCTGTCCGTCCCTTTATCTGTCCGTCTGTCTTATCTCCTCCACAGGTGCAGCCCCCTGACAAGTCAGTGAGCCCCCTCTGCCTGTCCCCTTTCTTCCTTCCTTTGGGCACTCGGGGTGGTGGCCCCCGCCCACCCCGATATCAGGCCCTGGGCCTCACCTTCCCCCACCCCCCTTCATAACCCATGCACACCACGTGGTGGGTGGAGGGGGCACCGAACCCTGGGCGAAGGTTCAGAGCCCGCCCCCCCCCTTCCCCACAGACAGCCGCTCCGGCCCGCCGTGCCCGATGCCAGCAAGCAGCGGCTGATGGAGAACACGGAGGACTGGAGGCCGCGGCCAGGGACGGGCCAGTCGCGATCCTTCCGCATCCTCGCCCACCTCACGGGCACCGAGTTCAGTAAGCGCCAGCCCAAGGCAGGGCGGATGCGCGCAGGGCAGGGGCGGAGGGGGAGGTAGATGGGGGGGCGTACCCTGCCCCCCTCCCAGGTCTGACCGACTCCTCTCCGAGGATCACGGTCGGGTGACCCTCCTCTCTCTTGGTCACTACTCACTTCTGCCCTCTTAGTGCAAGACCCGGATGAGGAACACCAGAAGAAATCGAGGTAAAGAACCAGGAGCCGGGTGCCGCCCTCCACCCTCCCGCCTCTTCCGGCCCAGTCTCCCCCAGCTGGGATTCTCTCGTTTTTCCCTTCCTTCCTTTCCTCTTTTTCCTTCCTTCTGTCCATCTTCCCTCCCTGCCTCCCTTCCATCTCTGCCTTCCACTTTTTCTCCTCCTTCTCTCTCCACCCCTCAGGGAAAAGTATGTTCTGGAACTTCAGAGCCCACACTACACTCGCCTCCGGGACTGGCATCACCAGCGCTCTGCCCACGTGCTCAACGTGCAGTCGTAGCCGGGCCTCTCCGGCCAGCTGCCTTCTCTGCCTGTCTCTGTGCTTCCTGCCCGGGGCACCCCCTGGGTGTCCCCAGCTTCTGCCTACCTCACCCACCCCTTCCCTGCCCCCGATCTGAACCTCCCGCCGGCCCCAGCGGCCCGGCTGGCACACGCCTCCTGGCTTTATCTTGACACTGCCCTCCCTCCTGGCCCTGTGGCACGGACGTCTGCCAGGCCTGCGCTGCTGCTCTGGGCATGGAAATAAATATTCTCAGCTCTGCTTTCTCTGCCTCTGTCTTCCGTCTTTACGGGGGCCTGGTTCGTGTTTTGGGGGCGTGGGTATTTGAGGATGTGTGGGTCCTGCCAGCCTGTAGGAGGCTGGGGGGAGGGGAGGCAGGTGGTCCGTCCCTAGCAATGAGCACCCTGCCTGGGTAGTAGCTCCCTGATACCAGGGGACCCCAAGAGTTGCTTCTCAGTTTTACATCATAGACCAGTGTGGGGGAACCTGGCTAGAAGCTGCCACTCCTCCAACCCTACCCTGGAGGGACTCCGAGTCTAGCCAGCAACTCTCACGGTTACCCCAGCCATCAAAGCAGAACCAAGGTTGGGGGGGTGGGGGCAGGGAGGCTGAGCCATGCCAGGGCCTTGAATGGGAGATCTTGCAGCCAGGTACCCAAGACAGAAGCCCCAGCCCCAACCTCAGCTCCACCCCAGGACCCCTGGCCTGGTAAGAGAGAGAGGGGGCTTGGGCCTGGGGAAGGGTTGGGAAGCTTGCTGGGGGGGTTGGGGGGCTCAGTGCTGGGCTCCTCTGTCCTTTGGGGGTGGGGGGGTCCCCTGGGCACCCTCTGGAGCCACTGTTCTCGGCCCTGGCAGGCCCTCCCACCCCCAGCCCCACCAGCCGCCCACCGTGGGCAGTAGATCCAGCCTTCGCCGAGCGATATGCCCCGGACAAGACCAGCACGGTGTTGACCCGGCACCGCCAGCCCGCCACGCCCACACCGCTGCAGAACCGCACCTCCATCGTGCAGGCCGCCGCCGCAGGGGGCGGCACCAACGGCAAGACACCCGTGTGCCACCAGTGCCACAAGGTCATCCGGTGGGTGGCCCTGTCCCCTTCCCTGCCCTGGCCTTTTCCTGTCCCCATGGGGCCATCCACCCTCGCTGCACCTGCTTCAGGCCCAGGTTCTCAGATTCCTAATCCTGTGCTATTTCCATTCCCCCCTGCCACCCCCGACCTACTTACACCAGCCTGGAGCAGGGCTAGCTCTGGGGGGGCCGGGGGGAGGGCCAGTGACACCCTTCAGTGCTCTGGACCCCCGTCTTCTGGGGGAAAAAAGGGATCTGCCCCTTCCCAGCCCGGCCGTCTCCCTTCCTTAGTCCCTACCTACCCTCTGCTCTCAGAGCCCCTGGGCCAGTGGTCCCTCCCTCCCTGCCCTTCTCCTGGTGTGTCAGGTTCTAGAATCTTCCCACTTGGGAGTACTAAGCTCTTACTTGGTTGAACTCAAGGCCTGGATCCTATCCCTCAAGCTTTTTTTTTATTTTATTTTTTGGTTAAGGATGATGCTCTACCACTTGAGCCACACCTCCACTTTCAGCTTTTTGCTAGTTAATTGGAAATAAGAATCTCACAGACTTTGCTGCCTGAGCTGGCTTCAAACCACAACCCTCAGATCTCAGCGAGGATTTACAGGCCTGACCCACCAGTGCCCGGCCGTGTCCCTGAGCTTTTTATTTTTTGCTCAAGGCTAGCACTCTAGCACTTTGAGCCACACACACAGCTCAGCCTCCTCACCTGCCTAATCGTTATTAGCTTTTAGGCAGGAACTCTGCAAAGCACCCGGTCCTTCTTGACACCACTATTCAAATAGTAAAATACCTACTTACCCCCCCCCAGATGGAACAGACAAGCCCCTCCTCTATTTGCATATATTCCCTTGCCCCGCCCATTGCATTTGCATACATCCCACCGGCCTGCCTACTTCCTTTGCAAACGGCCCCTCACCCTGCAGGGGTCGCTACCTGGTGGCACTGGGCCATGCGTACCACCCCGAGGAGTTTGTGTGCAGCCAGTGCGGCAAAGTCTTGGAGGAAGGCGGCTTCTTCGAAGAGAAGGGGGCTATCTTTTGTCCCCCCTGCTATGATGTGCGCTACGCGCCCAGCTGTGCCAAATGCAAGAAGAAAATCACAGGCGTGAGTGGGGCTGGTGGGTGGGCGGGGCAGAGGGGAGGAATTCTCACCCTGAGGGGTAGCAGTGTCATGCCCAGACTACCAGGCTGAGAACATGGTACAGAATAGAGCATTTACAGGCTGGGAAGGTGGCTCAGTGGTAGAGCGCTTGTCTTGCATGCCTGAGGCCCTGGGTTCAATTCCTCAGCACCACATAAGCAGAAAAAGCCAGAAGTGGCGCTGTGGCTCGAGTGGTAGAGCGCTCACCTTGAGCTGAAGAGCTGAGCAACAGCACCCAGGCCCAGAGTTCAAGCCCCATGACCAACAAAAAAGGACAGAGCATTTTCTTAGTACTACGCACAAGGCTCTGGTTTCGATCCGTAGGACAGAGAGAGGGGAATGGGAGGAAAAAGGAGAGAGGGAAAGGAGGCAGCCTAACCAGGCATATGTATGTAGTCCTAGCACTCACAGGCAGAAGGATTTTGAGTTCGAAGCAAGCGTGAGTTATATACTGAGACCCTGTCTCAAAAGAATAAAGGCCAGGCCGGGCGCCAATGGCTCACGCCTGTCATCCTAGCTACTCAGGAGGCTGAGATCTGAGGATCACGGTTCAAAGCCAGCCCAGGCAGGAAAGTCTGTGAGACTCTGATCTCCAATAAACCACTACTAGAAAACTGGAAGTGGCGCTGTGGCTCAAGTGGTAGAGTGCTCACCTTGAGTGAAGAGCTGAGGGACAGCGCCCAGGCCCAGAGTTCAAGCCCCATGACCAAAAAAAAGGCCAGGCCAGGTGCCAGTGGCTCACACCTGTCATCCTAGCTGCTCAGGAGGCTGAGATCTGAGGATTGCAGTCAGGAAAGTCCATGAAACTCTTCAATAAACCACTAGAAAACTGGAAGTGGCGCTGTGGCTCAACCGGTAGAGCACTTGCCTTGAGCTGAAGAGCACAAGGACAGCACCCCAGCCCAGAGTTCAAGCCCCACAACCGACAAAAAAATAAAATAAATAAAGGCCAGGCTTCTGTATTCACGATACTTAAGGAGCCCTGGTACTGGGGTTTAAACTCATGGCCTGGGTGCTATCTTTTTTCTTTTTTTTAGGGGGAGGTCTGATCGTGGGGCCTGAACTCTGGGCCTGGGCTCTGTCCCTCAGCTCTTCAGCTCAAGGCTAACTCTCTACCACTTGAGCCAAAGTGCCACTTCCAGCTTTTTCTTCTTGCTTATGTGGTGCTAAGGAATCGAACCCAGGGCCTCATGCATGCAAGGCAAGCGCTCTACCACTGAGCCACCTTCCCAGCCCCCACTTTTGGCTTTTTGGTGGCTAACTGGAGATGAGTCTCAAGGTGTTTCCTGCCCAGGCTGGTTCTGAATCTCCATCCTTAGATCTCAGCCCCCTCCTGAGTAGTTAGAATTAGACCGGCATGAACCACCAGCAGCTCACCATATCATAATAATATATTGTTTCGAAAATAATGGCGAACAAAAGAAATCTGTACCTGTTCAGTACAGGTTCAGCATTTCTTCCTTCCTCCTAGGTTTTTCTGGTGTTGAGCAGGGCTTGAACTCAGGGCCTTGAGCTCTCTCTTGCTCAGCTTTTTCTCTCACAGATGGTACTCTAAACACTTGATCCATACTTCCAGTCTAGCATTTTGCTAGTTAAGTTAAACTCTTGAAAAAATGGAGTCTTTTGAAAAGTACGAATCTCAGATCTCAGATTCCTGAACAGCCAGGATTACAGGTGTGAGCCACCTCGGCCCAGCCTCCTCCAATTTTTTAATCTTTTTTGTTCATTTGTTTTTGCTCAGTCTTGCGGCTTGAACTCTGGCCCTAGGTACTGTCCCTCAGCTCTTCAGCTCCAAGTGAGCGCTCTACTGCTTGAGCCATAGCACCACTCCGGTTTTCTAGTGGATGATTAGAGATAAGTCTCATGAACTTTCTTGCCCAGGCTGGCTTTGACCCACGATCCTCAGATCTCAGCCTCCTGAGTAGTTAGGATGACAGGCTTGAACCACTGGCACCCTCCTCTAATATTTTGGCTCAGTGACTGGTGCTGAGCTCCCAGATACTGAGAGCCCATTGTACATTAGCTCTCCAGCCTCAGTAATAGACAATGGCAGAATCGATGGGGTTGTAAAAAGCTGTTGAGAGGCCAGTCCAGCATCCACTGCTACCAATGAATGAGAGCGCTGGGTCTCTGGGAGACACATTGCCAGGCTTTGAGTACACAGGCCTGACTGTTGAGTAGCAAAGAGAGAAGTCCAGACTTGAAAACAAGGATGCAAAAATCCTGCTCTTAGCCAAGTGCCGGTGGCTCACGCCTGCTCCTAACTACTGAAGATACTGAGCCATCTGAGGATCACAGTTCAAAGTTAGCCCGAACAGGAAAGTCCTTGAGATTCTTTTTTTTTTTTCGTGGGGCTTGAACTCTGGGCCTGGGCGCTGTCCCTCAGCTCTTCAGCTCAAGGCCAGCGCTCTACCACTTGAGCTACAGCGCCACTTCCGGTTTTCTGGTGGTTTATTGGAGATAGGAGTCTCACGGTCTCTCCTGCCCGGGCTGGCTTTGAACCACGATCCTCAGATCTCAGCCTCCTGAGTAGCTAGGATGACAAGCGTGAGCCACCAGCGCCCGGCTTCCTTGAGATTCTTTTCTCCAATTTAACCACCAAAGAAAAAAAAAAAAAGCTAGAAATGGAAATTTGGCTCAAGTGGTGGTAGTACCAACCTTGAGCCAAAAAGCTCAGGGACAGTGCCCAGGTCCTGAGTTCGAGCCTTAGGACAGGCACCAAAACTAAAAAGGCGTCGGGGGGGAGAAATTGTGTTTTTTCCCTCAGAAGTTCAATGCAGAGGAGGTTGACCAGGGTGACCCAGAGTTGGGCTTCGAGGTTCATCAAGAGTTGAGAGCAGGGCTGGGGGTGTAGCTCAGAACACCTGCTTCGAAGCGTTAAGCCCTCACTTCAAAGCCCAATGCTGCCAAAAAAAGGAGCTTACAGCATCCTCACCCACTCATTCTACCAGTGTGGATGGTACACCCAGGTGATGGGTTTCATGCTGATGACACACCGAACAAGATAAAGGCCCTGCCGCCCAGGGGCTCGCTGGGGGAGGGGACCCTGCAAGGTATCATGGGTTGGTAGCTCTTCCCTCCCACCCCACCTTTCTCTCTCTCTCTCTCTCTTTTTTTTTGCCAGTCCTGGGCCTTGAACTTAAGACCCAGACGCCATCCCTAATCTTCTTTTGTTCAAGGCTAGCGCTCTACCCCTTGAGCCACAGCGCGCCACTTCTGGCTTTTTCTGTGTATGTGGTACTGAGGAATCGAACCCAGGGCTTCACGCATACCAGGCAAGCACTCTACCACTAAACCACCTTCCCAGAGCCACAGCACCACTTCCTTGAGTGGTTTATTGGAGATAAGAGTGTCACGCACTTTCCTGCCCGGGCTGGCTTTGAACCGTGATCCTCAGATCTCAGCCTCTGAGTAGCTAGGATGACAGGTGTGAGCCACCAGCACCCGGCTGTCCTGTAACTTTTTCATTCAAGGCTGCCGCTCTACCAGTGGAGTTACACCTCTGCTTCCAGCTGTTTGGTGATTAATTGGAGATAAGAGTGTCACAGGTTTACCTTCCTGGAGCTGGCTGTGAACTGAAATGTTCAGATCTCCACTCCCTCCTGAGTAGCTAGGATTACAGGCGTGAGTCACTGGTGCCTGGCTTGGAACCCTTTTTACCTCACTCCTCTGCATCGGGACTCACCTATCACTTTCCCGGAACATCTTTCCTGACCTCTGCCATCGCCAGCCCCCCTCTACCCCTTTAGTTTTCTTGTAACAGCAGTTGTTTATTTTTCTTCTTGTCCTGAGGCTTGAACTCTGGGCCTGGTCACTTGTCCCTGAGCACCTTTGCCCAAGGCAAAGCGCTCTACCATTTGAGCCACAGCTCCACTTTGCAGTTTTCTGGTGGTTCATTGAAGATCGGAGTTTCCTGGACGCTCACAGTCCTCAGAACTCAGCCTCCTGAGTCGTCAGGATGACAGACGGGAGCCGCTGGTGCCTTGCTCACTCCAGTCCTTTCCCACCTCCCTCCCCAGGTGTGAAGTGCATGGGCTGAGAGTAGGGCTGATGGTGTTCAGCGTTGTAACCTGTATGCAGAAGGTGATCAGTAAACACCTGGCAAGTGGATGGAAGTGGCTCCTAAGTCCAAATTAAACATAGGCAGGGACTCACCCGGGGAAGGCTCCGGGCAGAGGGAGCAGCTTGTGTTACAAGCTGTGGTAAGATGTTTGGATCTGGAGACAGAGGTCAGTCCAGCTCCTGAAAGCATCCCCAGGGCCAGCATAAAGACAGCGGGAGCCAAGGCACTGGCATCTTCTGGGGTTCAGGCTGGGGCAGTGGGGTGCCAGAGGCACACAGAGTTAACACATCCTAGGAAGAAACAGAAATGGACCACTGGGGCCAAGCGCCCACCTGTCATCCTAGCTATATCAGGCGGCTGAGATCTGAGGATCAAGGTTCAAAGCCAGCCTGGGCAGGAAAATCCATAAGATTCTTTATCTCCAGAAGGCCGGAGTTCAAGCCCCAGTACACACACACACACACACACACACACACACACACTGATCACTATCCCATAACCCTGTAAGCCCCTTCTCCTACCAGCTAGAATACCTGCTTTATTCTTTCCCCAGGGCTCCTTTAAGACAAGTTATACCTGGCCAGTTGGAGGAATCAGCGAAATATAGACACAAAATCCATTTCTGCCCTCGACAGGCTATATGAGTCGTGTCCAGCTGCTTGCTCAGGGCCACTCTAAAGGGGATGATAGCCAGAACTCCTAGCCCATGAGGTTTCTAGATACTACAAGATACAGCCAGGCTCAACGCCTGTCATCCCAGCTACTCTGAGGGCTGAGATCTAAGGATCTCGGCTCAAAGCCAACCTAGGCAGGAAATTCAGTGAGATGTTTATTTGGTGGGCTTGTGGGTCCCAGGATGGCCCTCAGCTCCTCCATAAGTCTTTGCTTCCCCTCACACGTGGGGAACTAAGTTAGATTGACACCCAGGGCTGAAACACACTCATACGCACACGCACGCATACACACACACACCACAGGCCGGGCCCTGATGTTACAGGTCAGCTCACAGTGGAAGGCTGCCAACCAAAGATTTTTCTTTGGGAGAGTCAGCAAGCAGAAGGTACAACAAATAAATTACCCGAGAGGCTGGGTTCTGGTGAAATGAGTGTTATTGTACAAGACACCGAGAGACGGCAGTTTGGAATAATCACTGGTGTCAGAGAAAGTCACATTGGGGGGGGGGGCAGGGAGGGGACAGCCAGGAGGGTGCCAGGGTGGATCAAGGTGAGATGATGAGCAGGCAGGGGGGGGAGGGAATGGGAGGAGCTGCAGCTTCTGGGCCCTGCTGGCCATGACTTGTGTTTGGTTTTTTTTTTTTCTTGGTGCCAGTCCTGGGGCTCAAACTCAGGGCCTGGGCGCTGTCCCTCAGCTCTTTTACTCAAGGCGAGCACACTGTACCACTTTGAGCCATTGCTCCACTTCTGGTTTTCTGGTGGTTCTTTGGAGATCAGCCTCTCATGGAGGGGCTGGGAAGGTGGCTCAGTGGTAGAGCGCTTGCCTTGCATGCCTGAGGCCCTGGGTTTGGTTCCTCAGCATCATCTAAACAGAAAAAGCCAGAAGTGGCGCTGTGGCTCAAGTGGTAGAGCGCTCGCCTGGAGCTGAAGAGCTGAGGGACGGCGCCCAGGCCCAGAGTTCAAGCCCCACGACTGACCAAAAAACAAATCTCATGGAGTACTTGGGCTGGCTTTGGACCCCGATGCGCAGATCTCAGCCTCCTGAGTGGCCAGGATGATAGGCGTGGGCCACCGATGCCCAGCTTGTGGATACAAATCTTTACCGTGAGAAGGACAGAGGCCGCAGAGGCAGCCTTCCTGGGTTCTGCGGGGGAGGAACGGAGTCTGACTGTGTGGCTGTGGCTTTCAGGAGATCATGCACGCCCTGAAGATGACCTGGCATGTGCACTGCTTCACCTGTGCCGCCTGCAAGACCCCCATCCGCAACAGGGCCTTCTACATGGAGGAGGGGGCGCCCTACTGTGAGCGAGGTACGGGGGGCCGGGCCCTGGCATGGGCGGTGAGGTGCAGGCTATGGGGCTCACCCTTGTAAGCCAGGTTTCTTTCTTCTCCGCCTCCGCCCCCAGACTATGAGAAGATGTTTGGCACCAAATGCCGAGGCTGCGACTTCAAGATCGACGCAGGAGATCGTTTCCTGGAGGCCCTGGGCTTCAGTTGGCATGATACGTGCTTTGTGTGTGCGGTGAGGGCCCTGCTCCCCTCCCTCTGCGGGGGGGGGGGGAAGAACTTGCCTGTCCCCCCCCCCTCCCCCCCCCCCCCCCGTCCAGTCCAGTCCCCGCCTGTGACTGGACCTTTGCTGTCCCCAGATATGTCAGATCAACCTGGAAGGAAAGACCTTCTACTCCAAGAAGGACAAACCCCTGTGCAAGAGCCACGCCTTCTCTCACGTGTGAGCCACGCCCACTGAAGGAAGAGGGGACCATCAGCCTCCCCACCCCCCACCCCCAGCATCGGTGGGTCAGCCTGGCTGGCCATGGTGGCCCCATTCCCCAACGCCTGGACCCCATTCCATCCCCTTCACCTCCCCACACACGTCCTTCCCACCAACACACACGCACACACACACACACACAGGGTGCTGCCACACCAGCCCTGCCCACACCCCAGTGCCACAATAAACCTGTATCCAGCCATGTCCCGTGGGCCGGCTCTCCGTGTAGAAATGAGCAGCAGTGGGCGTTCAAGCCAAGAACCAGGTCTGGTGCCACCTTGAAACCCTGAGAATGGGGCCAGTCCTGGGTCTTGAACTCAGGGCCTCACACACAGGCTTGGCTTTTTTCCATCAAGCCTGACAACTCTACCACTCTGAGCTACAGCTTCACTTCTGGCTTTTTTGCTGGTTAATCGGAGATAAGATGGTCTCCCAGAGGGCTGGGAAGGTGGCTCAGTGGTAGAGTGCTTGCCTAGCATGCATGAAGCTCTGGGTTCAATTCCTTGGTATCACATACACAGAAAAAGCAGGAAGTGGCGCTGTGGTTCAAGGGGTAGAACGCTAGCCTTGAGCAAAAGAAGCTTAGGGACAGTGCCCAGGCCCTGAGTTCAAGCCCCAGCACAGAATCTCCCGGACTTTCCTGCCTAGGCTGGTTTCGAACCTCCATCCTCAGGCTAGTCTCCTGAAGGTAGCTGGGATTATAGGAGTGAACCATCATGTCCAGCTTAACATAGGAGTCTTTAGAACTGTGCCTGGCATGTATAGTGAATGGATGCCCAATAAATGTTAAATGAACGAGGTGTCTGTAGGATACTTTTTATTTTATTTTTTGTCGTTCATAGGGCTTGAACTCTGGGCCTGGGCGCTGCCCCTCAGCTCTTCAGCTCCAGGTGGGCGCTCTACCACTTGAACCACAGCGCCACTTCCAGCTTTTTCTGTTTAGATGGTGCTGAGGAACCGAACCCAGGGCCTCATGCATGCAAGGCAAGCGCTCTACCACTGAGCCACCTTCCCAGCCCTGTGGGATATTTATGAAGACAAACCCAGGAAGCAGTTGAAGATAGACGTCTAGATTCACTCAGATTGAATTTAAGAGTGGGTGTGGGACAGGCCGAGCACTGCTCACGAATGCTTGTAATTGATGCCTAGGGAAATCTGGGGTACAGTCACGGCGGGCACCCCAGGAGGAAAGCAGGTCCACGTGGCCATCTCAACCCCAACACACTAGGAACATTGAGTACAGTGTACCCCATTTCACAAGGAAATGGACTCTCCTACCTCTCTTGAACCACAAATCCTCTCAGGCCAGTCTCCGTTTCCATGGAAACAAGCAAGAGCATCCTGCAGGCTGGAAGCCAGTCTGCGCATAGCGGTCCCTGCTCTCCAGGCCCCAACCCAGGGCTGCCGGGTGGAGCTCCTGGTCTGTTACCCTTGTAGGAAGCTCAGATTTTTTTTTTTTTTTTTTGGTCCGGTCGTGGGGCCTGAACTCTGGGCCTGGGCACTGTCCCTCAGCTCTTCAGCTCAAGACTTAGCGCTCTACCACTTGGAGGCTCAGATTTTTATGTGACACTGGGTTCTGTCCCTGAGTTTCTTTTGTTCAATGCTAGCACTCTACCACTGTAAGCCACAGCTTCATTTCTGGTTTCTGAGTGATTCATTGCAGATAAGAGTTTCAAATAGGAAATTTTCTGCCCGGGTTGGCTTCAAACTGTGATCCTCAGATCTCAGCCTTCTGAGAAGCTAGGATTACAGGTGTGAGCCACCGGCCCACGGCTCTATCTTTAAATCCTACTAAAGAACCTGGAGCCAGTGGCTCATGCTTGTAATCGTAGCTACTCGGGAGGCTGAGATCTTAGGATCCTAGTTCAAAGCCAGCCTAAGCAGGAAAGTTCATGAGATACTTATCTCCAATTAGCCACCAAGAAAATGACTAGAGCTGTGGCTCAAGTGCACTAGCCTGGAGCGAATAAAGCTAAGGGACAGCAACCAGGCCCTGAGTTCAAGCCCCAGTACGTGTGCACGTGCACACTCAAGGCTAGCACTCTACCACTTGAGCCTCAGTACCACTTCCGGCTTTTTCTGTGTCTGTGGTACTGAGGACTCGAACCCAGGGCTTCGTGCATGCTAGGCAAGCACTCTACCACTCAGCCACCTTCCCAGCCCACACTCCTATTTTTAGAAAAGCAATAAATACAGGCCATGGTCAGTGTGAGGACAGCTAAGGGCCTTTCACAAAGAACTGACCAGAAACCTGGAGCACAGACATTACAGCACTGGGCAGAGAGAGCAGAGGCCATGGCCAGAGAGAGAGTTACAGCCTCCAGGGAGCTCTGGAAGGAAGCCAGACCAGGGCAAGAGTGTTTGCAGAACTTGCCAACAATGTCAACTAGACAGATAAGGCGGGGTGTCCCCGTGGTATTTTGCAATAAGGTGACATTGCCAGATCAGTGTAGCCGAGTGCCAGGGTGAAAGAGGAAACAGGCTGGGGAGAGGGTGAGGATGTTGAAGGAGTATGTGAGGACAGCTCTTCTGAGAGGCTGGGCTGGGCCTGGACAAGAGGGAGGGGGTCACGTCAGAGGTTGAGCACCAAGCTAGAGGCTGAGGGTGGCCGCTGGGAAGTGGCTGCCATAGGAAAGAATAGACTAGGTGGAGCCCGGCGCTGGTGGCTCCCGCCTGTCACCCTCACTACTCAGGAGGCTGAGATCTGAGGATCGCAGTTCAAGGCCAACCCAGGTAAGGCAAAAGTCCATGAGACTCTCATTCATCTCCAATGAACCCACCAAGAAGCTATGGCCAGCCCCTCGTGGCTTCATACCTGTCATCCTAGCTACTCAAGAAGCTGAAGGACCTGAGCATCGGGGTTCAAAGCCAACCCGGGCAGAAAAAAAAGTCCATGAGACTCTTACCTCCCAGAAACTACTCAGAAAAAGCTGGAAGTGGCGCTATGGTGCCTGAAGTAGTTGAGCACTAGCTTTGAGCATGGAGAGGCTCAGGGACACAGCCCAGGCCCTGAGTTCAAGTCCCAGGACTGGCAACAAAAACAAAAACGGAAGTGGAGCTGTGGCTCAAGTGGTAGAGCGCTAGCCTTGAGTGACAAAGGTAAGGGACAGTGCCCAGGCTCTGAGTTCAAGCCCTAGGACCAACACATACACACACACAGTACAGAGATGAGTGTCCACTCACCTTTGCTGGCCCTGTCAGTGCCAGGACTAAAGGCCTGCGCTACCCAGCCCTTCCTGGGCCTTCCTCTCCTCTCCTCCCCTCAACTGCAAGCATCGCTATATTCCAAAGCTGGAGTGAGAGGCTGTGCAGGGGGGAGGCTGTGTGGGTGGAGGACCCAGTGAATGGATGTCCTTAGGTAAAGGCAGGGGAGGCCATTAGCATCCTTGGAGAGAACAGAGTTCCAGCCGAGGGGGCAGAGTCTGTGGCAGGGGGCTGAGTGGGTAACCAGAGGCAGTAGGCAAGGGAAGGGCTTTTTCTAGTTCCTGGAGGCTCTGGCTTCCCGGAGGATCAGCGGGGGGGGCGGTGGGGGGGCGGTGGGTACAGGGGCGCGGAACCATTTCTCCAGAACGGACTATTCTGCAGCTGCTTCCTCCTGCTGGAGCGCCCCCCCCCCGTGGCTTTGGCACACACAGAAGGTACACTTGAACCCTGACAACCTCCCGTGCCTGGGAGCCCCCCAGGCAACCCCCCCCCCGCAAGATGGGCTGGGATTTGAACTTGAATGGGCCTGGAATCAAAGCCAACCCTGGAAATAGAAAAAGGGCCCCTCCCAGTGGGCGCGCAGAGAACAGGAGTTTAGGTTCTGGGGGTTCGTGGGGAGCTTGGAGAGAACTCAGGAAGCTAGACATTGCTTGAGAAAGTGGGGGGGCCTTACTAAAGGTGGTCAGGGAGCACCCCAAAACCACACTGAATCCTTTTGCTTGGGGATCGAGGGACAAGAAGGTCACCTCGGGTTTCATCCACAGTCCTTTGCCAGTGACAAAAAATGACTAGTGTTTGGAGATAAAGATGGATAGTCACCAACAGTTTAGACAAAACAAGGGGGCTCATTTACCCGAAACAATTGAGGGCTTCAGGCACGGCTAGATCCAGGTAACTATTATGCCTCTGTCTCTGTCTCCCTTGCTGGGCACCGCTGCCTCGGTGCTGGCCCCGCTGTGGGTGGACACAGCCCCTTGGCCAAGCCAGAGGCTTTCTGATTGGTTCCAGAGAAAGTCCCAGAGTTGACGCCCACTGAGCTCATTGGGTCAGTGACTTCATCTGGAGTCATTGGCTCAGGCCCCCCAGGCTTGGATCCTATGCTCTCTCTTTTGTCAGTCATGGGGCTTGAAGTCTGGGCCTGGGCGCTGTCCCTCAGCTCTTCAGCTCAAGGCCAGCGCTCTACCACTTGAGCCACAGCACCACTTCTGGTTTTCTAGTGGTTGATTGGAGATCAGAGTCTCACAGACTTTCCTGCCCAGGCTGGCTTTGAATCGCGATCCTCAGATCTCAGCCTCCTGAGTAGCTAGGATGACAAGTGTGAGCCACCAGCACTAACAGTTTTCCGAACCTCAGTTTCCCCCATCTATAATAAGGTAACAGGAGCTAAGACATCCAAAGTACATACTAACTACTGGTTTTGCATCAAGTACTTTCTAGATACTCTGTGTGTGTGTGTGTGTGGAAATGTCAGTTTGAGGATTTGAACTCAGGGCCTGGGTGCCAAGGCTTGGCACTCTACCACTTGAGCCACAGTTCCACCTCCAACCTTTAAGTAATTCCTTGGAGATACGGTATCAGAAACTTCCTGGCACGGGCTGGCTTGGAACCACAATCTACAGATCTGAGTAGCTAGGATGACAGACATGGGCCAGTATGCCCAGCTTTAGATACTCTCTCTCGCTTTCTTTCTCTCTTTGCTGATCATGGGGCCTGAACTCTGGGCCTGGGCGCTGTCCCTCAGCTCTTCAGCTCAAGGCCAACGCCCTACCGCTTGAGCCACAGCGCCACTTCCGGCTTTTTCTGTTTATGTGGTGCTGAGGAATCGAACCCAGGGCCTCATGCATGCAAGGCACTGAGCTGCCTTCCCAGCCCTTAGAGTCTCTTTAAGTCATCAAGCTTGTTTAAGGTCAAAATGATAGGGGGAGGGGGACCTGCAGGAATCTGGGCTTGTCGGAAGCTCACATGAAGGGAAGTGGTTGGCACTAAGCCACCGGCAGA